GATGTTGAAATAATGAGCTTGCAGAAGTCCAACCTTTGGCATCACAAAGGTAATTTTGTTCAATGAAGTTGTGAGTTGTGTACCATTTTGACAACTTGGACATGGATTTGCCCCCAAACCAATTGTGTAAAACAGACGGCGGTCGACTTTAAGAGGGACGTTTGCCGGAAATTGTGGGGTATTTAAGCTTTTAAGTCTTTTGTTATAGTTCTAGGCGACGTTGGTGTTGTTTGGTGCAGGTAATTTGGGCATGGATGGGAGAACTGTGTTGGGGATGCCTTTGTAATGTAGGATCCCAGTAACAGTTTTGTTATCAACAGGAACTGGTGCATCCATGAAAGGCCTGGCTGCCATGAAGTATCGACTCGGAGGCTGATCGGCTTTGATTAGAACATTGGTCGTTTGACCAGGCGCGATTAAGATAACTCTGGTTGTGAAGGGCTTGGTGTAGACTGCATCAATCTCTACAACAGTCATGTTATGGCCTCCAATTGAGAAAAACAGTTCATCGTTGAGTGCAGCATTGATGATCCGCAACAGGTAAGTTTTGCCTGCCTCAACTTCCATTGTAAACGTATCTAAAATCAAAACAAGTAAAACAAGTCACGTTGCTTAACGTTAGAATATTGCTTGAAGATGAACATTTCCTAAACATTTTTTTCCTGGTCTAAAGCATGAAGCTACAGCTTACGTTTCGAAGAACACGGAAAGAGCGGCCCCGGTTTTCCGCTAATCGTGTGAGCATCAGACGTCGGTGGTGGTATCCCCAACTTATTGGCTCGGTTAACAAGTGTTTCGACGTCTGAATTCCACCATTCCCCTGCATATGAAACTTGGCCTCGTTAGGTACTACATTTCTCCATATCAAAGAACTCTGAAATGTGACTTTAAGCAGTTACAAACCTAGGATTATCTTAGTTTCTCTATGAGGTTGAGGGAATGGATACATTGTTCCTTCTTTCGGCATAATGACGATGGCCCCGTAAACCGTAGCTCGTAGCCACAAAATATGTGCATGCCACCACAATGTTCCTCGTTGTCCGGTGACATTAAAGTCGTAGGTGTAGCTATGTCCGGTCTTGATAGGGCATTGTGTTATGTATGCAGGTCCATCAGCCCAACCATTGAGAAATTGCTTTAAGCCATGCCTGCATATGAACAAAAACAATAAGTTGATTCAACCGTTTCCATATATATATGTATGTATGTAAATGACATACCAATGCATGGAGACGTATAAAGTCCTTAACCATTCATTGCAAAAGAAAAATATACAAATCCAAAAGAAAAAAGGAAAAAAAAAACACCCACATCAAACTGATACTTCCTCACAGCAGCTTCAGCTGGAAAACTCAGAAACCAAGAAAAGCAGAAAATGCAGAGAAAAAATGACCCAAAGTAGCTATCAAGCTGCATTGCCATTTTCAAATGCTTGAGATTTTTGCAGAGAATCATCGATACTTGTAGTGCTGAAAATGTAAGGTAGGTCAATTGAAATTGTTGGTAGTTCGGTGTTGAATCCATTATGTAAATAAAGCAAATACAAGAGCTGCACAAGCCTTGGAAGCAACTGGTTAAGACGTTGAGATATCCATGTGTTGTCTGTTAACTATACGGAATAAAAAGATTAAATAATAATATGGCAATCTTCAAGAAGCTAACTTGATTTATATATACATGATAGCTTTATTATAAGAATTTATGGTTAACTGCTTGGCCTAGCAAGTCACCAAAAGCTTTTGCTTTGCCTTAACAAATCGATTACTTGACCGCTGGTTTTGCCTACCGGAGGTTAAGACGGTGAAGTTGTGGGTGATAGATGGCGACCGGCCGTTGTATGATTTAACTACTTTGATTTGGTAATTATAAATTCAATAAAAATAAAATTCTGATAAATGTTGGGTTTGTGTTTGGGTTCAAAGAATCAAAGTTTCAACGAATCATAAACGAAAATAGTTAAAGCCCATATGAGAAGCAACGTTGGTGGCAGCACCAGAAACTCAAAAATCTTTATTAATTTCTTTTACACTGGTCTAAATTCAACCTATCAGTTAGTTATGTTTGTTCGGAGATAAAATTAATAGAATTTATAAATACGATAATAAAATTTATTGAGCTATTTAAGATTAGTGTCAAATTAATGAGAAAGTACGAGTCGAGGGTTTAAGGTAAAATTATTAAATTTCACATTTCAACATGTATAATGGAGGGACTATAACCAAAATTAAATCAGTAGTGACTGGTCATAAATCACAATTCCACACGTAATGGATTAACTTCCGAGCTTCATACATGGATGTTGATATATCAATCTGATCTAAAACTCTTGTCCTAACAAAAGCTCGAACCACATTTTTTTTCTCTACAATTTTTCCTTTTTTCTATGTTGGGGGTCTTTTCGTAAAATTCTTTTGTGTATTTTTCTATCTGGTTGTCCTGGAATATAATATTGAGTTCCGCTACTGCTATGTGAATGGATAATTAAAGCAAGTTTTGGGTTGAGTTGTTTTTATAAATGTTTTGGTTGTGTCAGTGTAAGGAAAAAGGAATATTGAGATGGTGAATGGAGGCGTGGGACTTTCCTCTTTTTACTTGTCTGCAAAAATTATCATTTATTTCACATAATATTTAAAGTTTTAAGTAGAATAAATGCTTATAATTTACTTGAAATCCTTGTTTGAGTAAGTGGAGTTCTTGAGAATGAAAAATGAAATCTTATGGTGATTGAAGTTAAAGATATCCATCTGCTGATATTCAAAGACTTCTCCACCTAGACATGGTCGAGTGGAGAAGACGACCCAGCCACTGCTAATTCAGTTGTTGTCCATTATAAAAAAAAAGGCTAAAGATGAAGTGGTGCTATTATTATTGTATGTATTGGATCATAAGTATATTTTAATTTTAATTTTAATTTTCAAAAATAAAAATAAATTAACTTTTTTTAACGTGTAAATATAAAATATTAAAACTATTATTATCTTAGTTAAATGGGAGTTAGAGTTATTCACCATTATTTATTAATTGTCACGTAAGTCACGTCATTATTATTTTTAAATAAATGATCTAATTTAAAATTTAAACAACTAAATAATTTAATTGTCAAAATTTATAAATCGTTAATCAAAATAAAACATCATCTATAATTTAAAAACTATACAGATATTTGACCCAGAAAAAGAAAACAACTATAGACCGACATAAGTTGACGTTGTGATTGGTTTTTCACATGCTAACCTTGAATGATATTCTATCTGCAAAGTCACGTATAAATTATCTTTTTTTTCCCATATGAAAGCTTATAACCATCTATTTTAATTCAAACAAAAGAATATATCAGAATCTCTTTTTAGCAATTCCATGTGTTGGGTTTTACGGGTTTTTTTGGTATAATTACCGGTTTCTTATTTATTAATGGACTAATTCGGATCAATTATTGCGAAGACAATGGCGACCATTCCAACTCAATTTGCTTCATTTTCAAGCATCAGGATTCGAATATCTGACCTTGCTTAAGGGGTCTAGTACCTCATTTTACTAGACCAACTGATTGTTAGGTTTTACGGTTATTAATCCTAAAGTTTGGATCCATATATATTTAACAAAAGAGAGTTTGATTTGAATATGAAAAAAATTATAAATACTGAAATTAAATTATTAAATTATTTAAAATAATTCAGTTAATTTTTTTTAAATGATTTTTCGAAAAATCACAAGCATCTGGGAAGTGACCGTCTAACCATCAGATGCTGTGGGGGGTGAATCTTTCAAACAAAGCAAGTTATTGACATGAGTCAATTTCAGAAGCTTTTTATGACATGAAACCGGGGACCTCGCTATTCATCATTTTGTCTTCCAAAATGTCAAATGACACTTCAATCTCATACATGACTCCGCCCATGATAAGATGGATTTCCCTTCTCATTGTCTTATCAATTTTTAACTTAATAAATTTCAATTTAGATTTTACATAATATGACATAATTATAGAGTCAATTATCTAAATTCATTTAATTTGATTATAAATGTTAACAAATTAAATTCATCTTATCATTATCTCAATTTGATTTTCATTGATATTTGAAATTGATCTAAATTAAATTTATTGAATGAATAGTGATAAAAGGAAACATTATTATTTCTAAAAAATTAATTAATTTTCTTTAAACAGATACTTGAATTTAAGAAGTAAAACTTTAAGGGACTAGTAAGTAGTAACCACAATCTGATTTGAAAAAGTAACTTGTGGGACTTACTTCTCTTGTTTTTTTGGTAAACTATACTTTTAGTACTTCAATTATTATTGTTGTTTCGTTTTGGTCACCTAACTATTATTTTTTTTCAAAATCATACCTAACATTACGTTTTGGTTTTATTTTGATTACCCGTCGTTGAAAATTAACAGAATTGTTGACATGGAGCAAAATAATTAAATGTGTGACCAAAATGAAACCAAAACGTAATATTATGTATGATTTTGAAACAAAAAATAATTAAGTGACGAAAATAAATAAAAGTGATAATTGATATACTAAACGTGTGGTTTGTCCTTTTTTAAAAAAGTTAAAATCTGACCCACAACCCACATAGCGACCGTAGGGATGGAGCAGCAGCAATGAAAACCAAAGTTGCCCTGGCCCCTCTTTTGTCTTCATTAACCTTGCGTTAACCGGCGTACTCAGTTGGGCTAAATATGTCGGGTGTGTCACTAGCTAGCCTACCTTCAAACCTTTGCAGCAAAACAAAAAGGACACCCTGAGTGTGTCATGACATGTTTCTTACATCTTATTGGCCCTCCCACTTTTCACTTCATCTTCTTCGTATCATCACATCGTTGGTTTTGATTAGCTTTTAAATTCATCTCGTTTCTATTCGAATTGAATTGGTTCGAATTCGAATATTATTCGTGAAGAAATTGGTAAAAATGATTTGGTTAAACAAAATAAAAGGGCAATATTCAAAGCATTTTGCACTTACAATTTAGAAAAGAGAATCAATTTCCAGTAAAAAGAGAAGGTTCTTAACTTTCATATATTGATGTCAATGGCAGTGATTTACAAACAAAAATAGAGTTCCCCCCATTGAAGTAAAATTTCAAGTCTTTTTTCCCAAGAGCCTTAACGATTTCCATATATACCTTCTCCTTCATGCACCTCCCTCCAAACACTACCTGGACAAGTTATATGATTGAGAGTAGCCAAATTGCTCCATCTCCCAACTCAACTTTGAAGCAACACTTTCATGGCAGGGCACATATTCCTGCAATATTAAGCATCCATGGGTTAATGCGAAGTTCAATGCCAGACCGCCAGTCAATCGCATACTTGGTATAGTGAAAGTACAGCGTATGTGAATGAGGTTTTCATTAGTTTATTATACCTCCAATTGCTTTACTAATTCTTTAGCCGTGGGTGCAGAAACAATGATTTGGCGTGCACTCGGACTAATAAATCCCTCTTCCACGGCTTTATCGATGAACGAAAGTAACGAGTTATAGTATCCATCAACATTCAGTAAGCCAACCTGAAAAAGGTTTTTGGAAATCTATGCATTTATTCATTGTCAAGTTCCATGGATGATGATCAGTTTGTAAGGGGGGAAAGGGACATACTGGTTTATCATGTATTCCTAGCTGAGCCCAAGTAATCACTTCAAGCAATTCTTCAAGAGTTCCATATCCACCTGCATTAATTTCATACGAGTTTTCTTTATCCATTATGCTTTTTGCAACCTAATCATTCTAATTGTATTACTCGGACTCGGGTGCAAATGTCTAATATGAATATGCATATATGCCTTTTCATTGTACAGAACAACATTTTTGGGTGGCTAACATGATTTGAAAGACAAGTATACACACAAGGGTATTCAAAAGCAGTGACATCTATGATTCAATTTTATCCAATCAAATTAAAGAGAGAAAAAGGATGGGGGCATATGACATGATTAAAACTACTAGATTTAATGTTAGATTGGATTATTAAATTCAGCATACGAAAAGAGTACATATTATGAAGTTTAGTGCAATGCACAACAAGGAGTTCCTTGACTATCATTTACCCCATCTTTTTGCTCCACATTCCAAAAACAAGGCATAACTCTCTCTGCCTGCTCATTCATGCCATAATGCCTCTCATTCTACATCATTATCACCTTACATAGTTTTTTTCCCATTTGATTTATCATAATGACTGAGTTCCCATTGCTGAAAATTCAAAGTTTGCTGAAAAAAGAACTTAAAAGGAGTAGCCTTTTGAAAGAGGTAAATAAGATTCCCTTTTAAATGCAGGTGCTAGTTGGCAAACACCCTTCAGTGAAAGTTTTAAGGATGTCCTTACACTCCTAATATGGTAAGGGGCAGGCCACTGTAACACCACAGACTTTGGGAATACAGGAAAGGAGAAAAAGAAAAGGGAAAGAGAGTTCCAAAGAAAGGACTAATTTTCAGTGTCAAGATGTTGATAGGTCAAGAACTAGGGTTTGAAGGGCTGATCTCTAACCATGGGACCTTGAGGCCTGGGGGTGTGTGTTGTAAGTGAAAGACTCAAAATGTCGCGATAATTTAATTAATTTCAGGCATCATGTAGTTGCTTTCAGCATATAGCCGGTACCAAAAATAGCTAGCAGTGTCAAACTACAGCAACACATGAGATATGGTCAAATTTGCATGCTGAAATTGAATTAAAAGCACCAGATAGCTTCTGTTTTTTTTTTCATTGATTTTTCCTTTGGTTGATACTAACCTGGTAAGGCAATAAAAGCATCTGAATGCTTAGCCATCTCTGCCTTCCTTTGATGCATATCTGCAACAGCCTTCACTTCCCCTACTGTTTCACCAGTTAACTGCAAAGTTTTATCATAGAAAAACACATAAGAGTACTGAAACCTGGAGAGAGGCAATAAAGAGAGAAAATAGAGACATTTGGAGTATTGTGCAGTGAAGCAATGATGAGAGTTTGCAGGCATAGATGACTTAATTTCAAAGAGTTCAATTCTGAGAATTGTCCCTATCCAATACATGTTTTAGCTACATAAAGGCCAACCCCCTCCCCAAATTTTAGAAAAGGCCAACAAAGAAAAAAGAAAAAAGAAAAGAAACTTGCAATTATCATTATCAAGTCTTCTTCAAAGAACAATAGAAATGTAGAAAGCCAAACAAGAAAATATTAAAAAAATTAGTGGTAAAAAAGAATACAAAAGAGAAAAGTTTGACCAATCGTAGAGGAAATCAGAAGCAAAAGCAAAGACAGAAAACAATATTTGAAATGAAACGAAACAAACATGGATGATGAAAAGATAACAAACTTTTTAAAAAAAAGGTGAAAAACGTGCAGCAGACATACCTCTCGAGGCATGAGCGTCTTGGGAATAACTCTGCAGTGAGAGAGGGTAACATGACAAAAAAATCAGTTGTAATGGAACTCAAAACTAAGAACAGTTATGTAATGAGGAAGACAACAGAGCTACTTTAATGAATTTGTTTCTTAAGAACATGTTGGAATATTGTCTTAGATTACCCAATGACATGGCGACCACCATCATGAACAGCTTGTGAAACCAATCCCATCAAACCTATGCTTCCTCCTCCATAGACCAGATCAATGTTCCTTGAAACCTGCAAAACGATAGAATCAAACAAGGCTTAAAATGAAAGACTTTGGAGTACTAAATGGAAGGAATGTGACTATGGTTCAAAGTTCAAGGATGTTATCTTCAATGCACTTATTTGAGAAAACCAATGTTTCTTCGTTGTACATTCATAAGAGTACCCAACAATAAGATTGAAAAGGATGTTTTTTTTTTGGTTGGGGGTGGTTCATTCAACGCACTATTACTTGTTTGTTCATTAAAATTTCCAAACTTTTAATAATTTAATGGGGTTCCAGAGAAGAACAGTGCCCTTCTTTTCTACCTCATGAATAGACATTTAGAAAAGTTCAAAAATGATTGAAACTTCCCACAAGGTCTTTGGAGAAAGATGCTTACAGAAAGCTAAAAACTTGAGGGGTTTTGAAAATGCCAGTTACCATAAACCAATTCACAAACATGTTACAAACACTATACGAAACAAAAGTTTACGGCTTTCACCAACTTTCAGAACCCATTTTCCTCCATATTAGTGGGGGGAAAAACATGTTCCTAACAAAAAAAAAATCAAACCAAGTTCCATTTGGTGTAAAGAAAACTAAAAGAAACAGAGAAAAAGAAGGGGGGTGGGAAAGGCCAGAGCTTTCTGTTAACTACCAATTCTCTGCCAAGCTCTATAGCAGCATCTTGGTAGCTACTCTTCTTGCCTTGGCTACTTCCACAAAATACACAAACCCTCCTAAATTTTGACTGCTGTGTTTCACTCTCCATCTCCATTAACTATATAACAAGCTTCTTTGTTGATGTATACTTTGGATTCTTACGAAACTACAAGGGGGAGGGGGAGGTAAAGTAATGCAAGAATCACTTTCTAGTACTGTCTCTTTGCTTCCTAAGCAATACCTATACCAATGGTGAAAACAATGCAAAGAAGCTTAATATTTTCTTGCTTGACTACTACTACTTTCTCCACAAGGAGCATTCTCTTCATGCGTGTATATATATATAAATAAAACCTCGCCACACGTGAGTGCCCTCACAGCACGCTTCTTCACACACACACACATACAGCTGATCTTGGCACGCCTGGGCCACTTATTTGTTTTAGTTTTATTTATATTTTCCAAGCCCTATCTGTCCTTTTTTAGCCAAAAATTTTATGGTAATTGAAACGAAACACAAGACTGTCTTTGCCAAGTTGCCTAGTTGCCAGTTGCACCTAATGAAAATGCAGCTTCACTTGTCGTCTCTTAATCCAGCTACAAGTTGTTAAAGTTTTTACGCTGAGTGAATGATATAAAAAGGTTGGTTTTTTTTTTCAGTTTACTGATTAGGTCATGCCATGGAAGATGAGAGCAATAAACCCGTGTGTTTTGATTTGTCAACAAAGGGTACGATTGAACCAAGATTAAACAAAACTTAATATTCCACTTTCCAGTTAATTAATCAGTTGTTTTTGTCTTGTTTATATATCCTATATAGAGACAAAGCATGTTCATACTTTATGACTCCAAGAAAAGGCAAGACATGGACATTCTCAGATGGTGTATTTCTTTAATCCTATGTGGAATGAACCAAAAAAACTTCAACATTAACTATAAAACAAAGAATTTTTCTGAGCCAAGTTATGGGTGAAATTCAGAGGTTCAGATAGTGCTACTGCTATTGAGCATTGTGCATTTATGATTGAAATAAAACATTAGTGGATTATGGCCTATGCTCTATACAAAGGAAACGTGTCATTTTTATTTCATTTTTTTATATCTGCAATTACAATAACATAATGTTTATAAATATATCTCTACACTAGCTCTTCACTCTCCCCGAGCAAGTTGTCTCCCGAGGCCAAACCTACCTCCATCACCATCGTTTAAAAAACCGAACTAGAGTTCGAATCGAATAGACATTAAAATCTCGATTGAATCGAATGATTTAATTATTTTAGTTTAAAACATGCATAATGTCAAAATTAATACCTAACGTTTACAAAATGATCATTTTTTTTCTTTATTGTTTTCTTTTTTAGAGCATTTTGGCTCTCAACGTTTCATTTTAGGGCAAAATAACCCTAACCTTTGACCGAACAATCACTTTAGCCCTTATTATTTAATTTTAGAGCATTTTGACGCTCAACGTTTCATTTTAGGGTAAAAAGATACATTTCAAAATGTTAACTATTTGTTACTTAACTATTTTCATAGAGGAGTCTTTTTTTCTCAAAATAAAATATTGAGGATAAAACGTTCCCAAAAAATATAGAGAGTAATTTTGATGTTGTACCTTTAAAATAACAACTCCCCCACTCATCTTAAAACAAATCCCATTTGCTAATTTCTTTTTTACCTTTTATAGTCATCTGTTGTATTAACTCATTCTTATACTTTATAGTTACTTCAGTTGCCAGGATTGTAGGAACTGAACCTATACATATATAAATGGTATATGGGTGCTATTATATCTAACATCCCCAATCCCCAAAATTGGCCTTTCTAGTTGTTCTTTTGTGTCTGCCCTTTTGTTTTTGTATTGTCAGCCGGATTCCTACCCACTGCCTATTTTTAGAGATTATAAACTCATTATTACCATTGCTTAACAGGCCATTAATAAACACACACACACATATATAATATTGTACAAGTATCAATTAATTAATGGTAAGGCCCTGCATGCTTGCATGCGCATCTAACTCATGTTTTTGTGTTCAGCGAACCCGCATGTATAGGCAGTTGTACTATCTACTTTGACTAACCATTTCTCCTCACTGAACACATCAATACGTATGCATGTCGTAGTTTTGTAAATGTTTTTATGTTATTTGGATTTAAATGTTCGATATGAATGCATATTTTAATGTGAATACTTGTTATATTTTAAAGAAGAAAACTGTTATATATTTCATATCTCCGTATTTATATTCATATACACATCAAATGTATGTATATAAGTTTACAATGAAAATAGTTCAAATCGATCCGACTAGCTGGTTTATATAGTCAAGTTCAAGAGGAAACATATAGGAATGGAACCATGTAATGCTTGGGAAGGGCTCTTGCCCCTTCAATTTTTATGTCAAATCATACTTTAGGCCCATAGTACTTTAATATTGATCAAATTAAACCCTGTCCCCTCCAACTTTTAGGATTAAATCTTTAATGGGTACTTGTTCTTTTGAGGTTAAACAAATTAGTCTCTCCCAATGTTTAATCTTAACTTTGTCCCTGAAAACATATATTAGATTTAATTTTTTTAATATTTACAGTTCTTCTCTTATCTTTCATCCCGAATTAGATATGATTACGTGTTTTATGATGTATAAATCCGATATTATCTCCACCTCATCCGACTCTACTCGATCCGATCTATTCTTTTATTATCCTCCTCTTCCAAAGGTGGGAAATTGTATGTTGGTTTTATGAATGTTGTTGACTATGAAAGAAAGACATGCAAGAATGATGACATATCCTAAAACTTTGTAGTCACTCCTTAGTCCCTCACAAGGCAAAGAATTATGCAGGCTTAGCCTCCCAATATTAAGGACAACTCTTTCTTGAGGTAAACATTTGAGTATGTTTGGTTTACAGTATTATATATATATATATATATGCTAATCATAAACATGTTCACAATTTCCAAGATGACGGCCATTGCTGTGGTCCAAGCTCATCAACACGCATTTTGCAATATATATATTCATTTCATGTCTGCTTGTTGAAGAAGAGTGAGATTCCGGAATCAATGGCCAGGATGAACATTTTATGGTATAATTCCATTTGGACAACATAATAGTACTTCGACTATAATTTTTGTTCCGTTGTCATCTAACTTTTTTTTAAAAAAATTATACCTAACTTTACGTTTTGATTTCATTTTAGTCACCTACCATTAAAAAATAATAAAATTATTGGCATGATCTATTTTTTTTAATTTTTCCAATGATGACGTTATCTTATGGTGACACACATCACCATCACATCTTCGTATATATTTTATAATGTATTGATAAAAAAAACAATCGAGTTTTTAATCCAGATTTTATCTAATTTTTAATAATTTAATATATATATATATATATATATATATAAAGTTTCAGAAATTCAATTTAATTAATTTATATAAGAATATCTTTAAATAAATCAATATTCAAATCTTGATATATTTTTTCTAATAGTTTTTCAATGACACTTGAGTGAGTCATCAACTAGTAGTATATATTGTTTGGTCAAAGACACAATTCAGGTGCCGTTGGGCGTTTGGGTTCCAATTTTTAATATATTTTCTTGTTATTCATTGCCTTATCCAACACTAATTGCTCCCCATACCTTCCATTTTTTTTAAAAAAAATTGAGAGAAAATAAATTATAAACTCTGTTATCTTATCAGATTGATATATATAGAATTTGGATATGTTTATACTTGATTTCTTTTAGATTTTTTATATACTTAAAAAATTATATCCATAATAAATAAATAAATTGAGAATTATTTCATCTATCTAATAAATTTAAATCAGAAATTTTGTTTATATTAATTTTATCTTTAAATTTATTTAATTATATCGACATTGTCTTTTAATCAATAATAATCATTACAGTGTTGACGTATCAATTAATTGCATTGACGTGATAATTTACGATATTAATATTACGTGTATATGATAACGTGATAAAAGAATTTTAAAAAAATTCATCAAATGTGATAGCATGATTAATTTTAATTGAAAATTTGAGAACTTATTTAATCTTTTAAGTGAAAACACTACAAAAACGTTTAGGAAAAATATTATATTAGGTTCTGGGGTCTCGTTGATATTCTATTGTCTATTCCGACAAAACTTCATGTTTGTAACAAAAAAACCAGCTCGAAACACAAGAAACGACAACAATCTCTCAATCATCTGTTTTTTTTTTTACCACTAATGCTAAGTTGAATTCATTTTGCCCTAGGATTCCTCATCTTGCTTAAACAAAAGCCATGATTACTAGTTGAGGATATCCCATATGCGAATAAACTCAATGGCATGCATAAATTAAAACTAAAAGCTCTTCTTCAAATTCAAGTAATCTCCACTTTGATTTACAACCCATCATTCCTTCCCACAATCCCCATTTATTTTTGTTAAAAAAAGCAAACTTTACAAGCTTGCTTTAAATCAATTCTACAGTAGAAAAGAAAAGTTGACACTCATTCACTGGCAATAAATAAAGACAAATGGAGTATTTGTTAAAGCAATAGAATATTAAAAACCCAGAATACGTATAGGGTTGATGAAAACTTCAAATATAATATCACTTCTCTTAGGCTTCAAGTCAAAGGTTATGGAGTTCAAAAGTTGCAAATCATTAACCTCACAAATATGTCTTTTGGTGGATGCTTAAACAAATATTATGCAAATCCACACCCTTTTAACAATTCTTCAACTGTTATAAAGTTAGCGTCTGTTATTGAATGTGATTATATGTCTAACTCGAATATAATTAGAATTTCATTCTTTTTCATATACATATGGAATATAACCGCAGCTACTAAAAAAACTAGCAAGTCTGCAGCTATTCTGAAGTGCTACAAGAGGTAGAAATACTGGATTTATCTGTTGATTGCTTGCTGTTAGCTGATTGAGCATCCATCGATCCATGTGAAAATGACATATGAGGATCTGACAAATGATAAACGAAGGGTGGATGATGGATATGGATCAAGAATTTAAGGTTTGAAGGTGTTGAACTGCTGCTCGTATGTCACCCCACTTGTTTCATAACACTCTATGTAGGATCGGGACGGTTTGAACCGAATATTTCATAAAACACATGTAATTAATAAAACCATTTTCGACTTCTCATTGCTAATAAAAAATTCTGCAGTTTGTTCCTCCATATTGCATGTAGTTTTTCCAGATTGTTATTGCTGCTATGTTCTTAATACAACATACTTCAATGACATGCAACACATATTAATCACATCAGT